TTTCCTTAACGTACAGCTAACGCTAAACTAATTTTATTCTACATTTTAGTTCGACACGGGTACCAAGGCAACGTTCCGACGAATTTAGTGATTCATTGGGCTAGCTATCTTCTTATTTTTTTCTTATTGCCCGCCAATAGTGATCAATGAAGGCATACCTTCACGTGCTATCAGAAATTAGATATTTACAACTTCTGAAATTACAAATTATGCGATCTGAAGCTCAAACAGCGAACACGAGATCTGTGTCTCTTCCTGATTTGCGTCAGTTATGATCTCAGCGCTCTCTTATTCGCCATAGAGCTGTCAATCATCTCACGTGGTTGAACGTGACAATAATCCTGCCCTTCTGCATCATGATGCGCTACTGTGTATGCTGTGTGTACACTTCCTCATTCTGACCTGATTCTGACCTCCGTGATAACAAAGCTAAGACACATCTCTTCACCTGAAACAAGAAGCTAATAAATGCATGATTTCGAGTATATGTGGTTTGTGTGTGATTTTCGTGTGATTTTGGATATTTTCATATGAATAAAGAATGTTTACAGTATCGCTAAGCAAGGTGTAGCCATTAGCTGCATATAAAATACCGCGACCGGGATATGATACAAATACTCGATGGTGGTTTAAAGTGAGCTTTAAGTAAAAGTGTAATATTAATCTTTTAAATTGTGTCATGTAGCTTGATGGTTCTTGCTCTAATCCACCTGCTGCAGGAGCTTTTCTATTCCATAATCTTATTTGTGAAAATATATATATTTTTTCTAACAAGACTTAAGATAATAGGTGGATCTTGATACTATGTATAAACTAAACCACCTGGATCCTAGAACTGCGGTCCTGAAACCACAGCCGCCGCTATCATCCAGTTCGGTAAGTGGCGCTGTCATAAAAAACTAGGGTCCTGGAACTGCGGTCCTAAAACTGGGATCCTGAAACTGCAGCCTCTGGTTGTGCAGGAACACACTACTGAATTTGACCCACTGAATTTGAAAAGCGAATTTGTATATTGAAATAAAATTGATTGAAGATTGCCTGTCGAATATAATAGGTTGTATTTTTAAACAGACCAAATATTTTGGAAGTGAAGTCTGAAAGGTGAATATGGATTATATAATTTTTAATAATGAAAATGTGTGTGAAATATTTTGAATTTAAATATCCACAGCATAAATATACGACCATGTTGAATTTCAGCCCTAAAAAATGCAATGCATTAAAATGCAAGCATGGTTAATGCAATGCATTTTTTTTTTTACAATTTGTGCAATTCAACAAGCTTTTTTTTTTCAAATACACTTGTCATTAATTTTCTTCCATTCCTTGTTTCATCAGAAGTACAACTTAATTTTCTACTAAAACGGTGCATTAACACAGGGTGTTGGCGTTAAAGGGTTAGTTCACCCAAAAATGAAAATTCTGTCAGTAAATTGACAGAGTGTGTAGCAGAAGAGTCGACAAGCGTACTTGGGACATACTGTCACGTTGTAAAATTGTGTCTTTAAAGGACGCTATGTCGCATAGTTACGCGCATCCTGTCAAACTGGCCTGTCAATCATTTTGTTCAGATCACCTATGGAATGCCAAAGCTGACTTAATTAAAAATAAATAAATACACAAATAAATAAATATACACCTCTTGCGTTTCGTTTGGTCACACACCACAAGGTGTCACTGTGGCCTCAAAGCTTCAGCACTGCCACTCTGAGCTCGATTGCTGATGTCTGAGGTAAAACACGCCCCCCTCATTAGCATACGGACAAAGAAATGTAGAAATAAATAAATGTGGAAATAAATAAATGTAGAAATAAATAAATGTGAAAATATATAAATGTAGACATAAAAACATATATACATAAATAAATGTGGAAATAAATAAAAGTGGAAATAAATAAATGTATAAATAAAAAAATAAAAAAATGTGTGAAGAAATACAATTATACATAAATAAGGAAATAAAAGTATAAATACTCATTTATTTGTACTTTTTTACATTTATTTGTATATTTATTTGTGTATTTATTTATGTATTTTTGTTTTTTTTACATTCCTTCGTATATTTATTTATTTATGTATTTATTTATTTTTAATTAAAGGTACTCTATGTAACTTTTCTACTAAAATGAATCCTTTTTTTATTGCCTGTGTGTGAAGGGGTTGTAATCACACATTAAAATGATCCACTTGTCGAGTTTTGCTATTACCTCTGAAGGCCAGTTTTCCTATTTCTATGTGTAGTCTCCGGGTCGGATTTACCGCGAAATGATCCAACGGATGTGACGTGCATGCGCGCTCCTGAGCCTCTCTCCTTATATTCATAGATGCCACCTACGTCACTACCAATAGAACGCCGCCATATTTACGACCGATCTCGCCCGGTATGGCCGCCCAAACTGCCTATTTGAATAAGAGAGAGAGACAGAGATACCTTGAGAAAATTTTAATTTTAGGCTCCGATCCTTATTTGTTACCCCCAGTTTTCTTTTGCCCATTATTATCTGCCCCAGACTTGCCTTCCATGATATATATATATCTTGTGCATAACCCCTCCCCATACAGTGGAGATCGCTTGAAGGCTGTCAAAAGTTCCGATGCATATCAATATGCTGTAGCTGGATGGGTAAAAGACGTAAAAGTGCGGCGCTGGCCACCAAGGATTTATATTTAATCATGGGAAATGTAGGTATTATAAAAAAAATTAAAATGTATGATTTTGGTGGTATTTTGCTCTGAATAGCGAGTTGTTAGCTAGGTAAGTGACTAACAGCTGGTAGCTTGCCCGCTGTTAGCCACGGCTCACGGCTAGCTGTCATTAATCTGGATTAGGCCTCTTGCGATAGTCAATAAATCAATTAATCACACGGAAAAAAAAATGTGCGCGATAATTTCCATTTGCATGCTTGTTTGTTTTCCTCGTCTCTCTCTCTCTCTACCAAAGAGACTGGATGACAACTCTGTTTAAGACATAACCGACATATTTTACGTGAATACTCTCCAAAACAGACATTTAAACATAATGTTGTGTGTATTTGTCCATTCAGACACGAAACAGAGCTCAATTCATTACTCGCGCGCTGTATAGGGGTATGGCCGCACGCGTCGGGTCGTGTGTGTGCGCACAGAAAGATGAGACATGATGATACAATATGAGACATGCAGCGATGATCTCTTCGAATGACAGCTAACCACTTCTTTCTTCTATCCTTTTCTTTTGTTATATAATAAAATACCAGTTCGGGGTTTCTCTTTCGGCTGTTTTTGCAGCCAACTGCAGAACATATTGCAGGCATTACTGAGACCGTCGGTCGTAAAGATGGCGGCGCAAAGCTACAGTGACGTCATCATGTGACCCGAACGAATACAGTCTATTGTAGACGGTCAGGGAGTTACGTCCGGTTAAAGGCGCACGTTTTTCGGCTTATATCTCAGTCAATCTTTGATCAATATTCCCAAGACTCTAATCGTTCGTAGTGCTGGACGGGGCCTTTCGAACGAGCCCACCCCCGAGGTCCAACTCGCCCGGCTCCCCGAGTTATAGCCGTTCGAAATCGGGGGTCCCAGCGAACGGCGATCCGGTAGGAGGCATCCCCGAGGCCCGCCACTCAAGAGTTCGGGCAAGGGTTCCCCTGGGACCTCCTCCCCCGAATTTGAGCTCTCTGGGTCTTTGCGTTCCAGAGATACGAGCGATTTTCTTTTGAGATCGTGACGTCACCGGCGTCCGCAATTTTGCAGCGCGCCCGATGGTTTTCTGCTAATATCTCCGCGAAAACACCACCAAAAACTATGGAACTTATATGGTTCTTTTCAGCTCGACTAGATGGTCCCAACGAGCTCGGTGCTCGCCGAATCCGTCAAGTATTCGCCGAGATATTTGCGTAATAGACGGTATTGTCTATGAGTTTGAGCACGAGCGCTCTTGTAAAATTTGGTTGCAATCCGAAACATCACCACTAGAGGCCGCTAAAAGTTACGTAGAGCACCTTTAAGTCAGCTTTGGCATTCCATAGGTGATGTGAACAAAATGATTGACAGGCCAGTTTGACAGGATGCGCATACTATGCGACAAACAATAAAGAGAAAATTGTTAAAGACACAATTTTACAACGTGACAGTATGTCCCAAGTACGCTTGTCTACTCTTCTGCTACACACTCAAAAGTTTTTTCTTTTTCTCCACAAAAACGTAGGTAGTATAAGTAGGCGAATTGGGACGCAGCAGATGTATCAAGTCTGCCTCGGCATGGAGACAGAACACAAGGTGACCCTATTGCACACTAAATAAAGTGGAAAAACAGAACTCCACTGACTGCCAACATGATGATTATGAGTGATTATTAAATAAAATGTTTAGAACATTACGTGCATACACAATCAAATGAAAGAAAGTGCAATTGTTTCCTTTCCTATTGAAACGCATATCCGAGTGAAAATACAGAGATGGACTTTATTTTGCAAGAAGAAGGATGATGATGATTTTGTTTTTAACTTATGACGTACTCGGGTAAATCATTTATAATAAATACTGCAATACTCCATAGATAAACGAGAATTGTCCATTTTGATTTAAAGGTGACTTCAAAGATTACGGGGGCACATGAGTTAATATTTTTTTTTAAATAAACTGCAATATTCAATAGAATACAAGGTAAGGCTAACGCTAATTTTCATTAAAATATTAGATCACAATGCAAAAACAATTCTGTAATGGTCCCCAAAATAGGCTTCTTCATTATTTTTATTTTACTTTATTTTTTTATTTTTTTTAAATCTTATTTTTACTCTCTCTCTGATATCAGATTGTAGAGCGCCTCCTGCGGTCGAAATTAAATGTTTGCCTGAAAGATAAACAGAATTACAGTTATGCCACGCAATCCTGAACACGTTGTAACTCTTATCAATATGAGCTCATGATCAGCAGTAAATTCCCGTTTTTTTTTCCGGCGCGTTTTTCTGACGTCATTCTGACCTGCGCAATAGACGCGCTGCTCAACTTACGTTTGTTATGACACCTATTTTGTAACAGGGTAAACAGGGGTGATATTTGTTTGTCCACACTTAATCTGGAAAACCACGGGAAGCACTTGTCCAGAGCCACAGCTGCACATTCAGCTCCGTAAATGTTTCCAGCCTGTAGATATTCCCTCCAAGGTACTGTCACACTTTCAATACCATGTAGCCTGAACGCTAGCAGAACGTTGTAAACCTTTGATTCTGTTAACCCGAAAGCATGTTTACTGTCCTGTTAAGTTGTTATTATCCATGCATGCACGGGACATGCCATGTTTCGTGTTTTAAACTGTAGGTTTATTCGGCTAGATAGCTAAAACAACCCTGTTCAGTACACAGGGAAAGTAGGGCAAAGGTCACTCGAATACAGGTCAGATGTGGCCTTGTGTCTGAAGTGAACAGTTTGATAACGCGTTCCTGCATTAAACATATGCATGAAACAGAATTTTGTGAGCAAAAAAATACAGCTTACAAGTCTGTCTGCTTCTTTTAGATGAGTAAGTTACCTTAGTTGGCCTGTTACTTAAGAGTGGATTTTGTAACAGGCAGCTTATCCTGTTATACAAAGTTGATCGATTTATTTTGAATGGCCAATACATTATATATATATATATATATATATATATACACAGTGTGTTTGTAAAACTATACTATGGGGTAATTCAATATGTAAAGTCACCATGAAATCAAAATTGAATTTTTTTTATGGAATATTGCAGTATTTATTATAAATGATTTATCCGGGCGTGCACACAATTTTTTTTCACATGCAATCTTTAGTGAAAATAACTTCCTCCTTCTCTCAGCAACATGTCTTCTCTTCTCTGATACCGTGTTTATTGGCGCGAGGGCAGAACAACCTGTCACAGAACAACCTGTTTTTTTCTTGCAGCACGGAGGTGTATACATGCACTAAAGGCGGTTCAAGCGGAGCATGTCGCACCTCAGTTGTACTCCTCACGGTGTTCCTCCTCATCTGTGCCACGAATTACCACTCATTACACAGTGTACCCCAGAGATAAGGACCCACGATGGGAAGGTCAGTTCTGTTATCTCATCAATGTATGATCCCCTTTAGAGGTGAGAGTGAACACAGAGGCTGGAGAAGTTTTGCCACATGCTGAGGAGGATAGAGATGAAGATTTTACATTGTTTTTGGATGGAACAAAGATATTCAGAATGCATTTTATTTACTGGTCTGGAAAACCTTGGAATTTATGAGAGAATTAAAACATTGGTCACAGTGTATATTAGGTGACCTTATATACTATATGCTAATATTAAATACCTACGAGACTATGGACTTAAATGTTGTTCTGGAAAATTCCCACATTTACTGCTGAGTTTGAGGTATGTTTAGGGTTAGGTGTAGACACAGTGTAAGATTATCTTGTTGACAGTAAGTCACAAATTCTAGTACAGAATCTTTAATACATACACACTGATAAAATAATTTACAAAGTTTTTTGCCTTGGAAGTCAGTATGAGAGTAATAATATTGAGTTTACTAATAAATGTGTGTATATAGTAAATAATAGACAATTCTCTATGTGATTTTTGTATTAAAAAGAGGCTCAGATGATTGTGATAGTCTGTTTTCATATTTACAGGGGTGGAAATGGAACGCTTCGCTGACGAGGCAGACGTTGTCATTGTTGGTGGCGGTCCAGCCGGCCTGTCAGCAGCCATTCGGCTGAAGCAGCTGGCCAATCAGCACGAGAAAGAGCTGCGGGTTTGTGTAGTGGAGAAGGCGTCTCAGATCGGAGCGCACACGTTGTCTGGAGCCTGTCTAGAGGTCACTTCACTCAATGAGCTTATTCCAGACTGGAAGGAGAGAGGGGTACGTACAAACAAACACATACATACTGTCCCAATTGGGGTCTGTTAACTTAACACACAAAGATTTGTAAATGCTATATTGCTTTTTTAAATGAAAAATAAACATGTATTAAAATGACTTTCAAAAATATCTGATTGTCTTGACACAAAAAATAATGTCCATGAAGGCCAAGACACTGATTTTGATTAATGTCCAACAGGCACCACTGAACACTCCAGTTACAGAAGACAAATTTTCCATTTTGACAGAAAAATACCGCATTCCTGTTCCAATATTACCAGGTAGGAGATTGACATTCTTGCATATGGCCCAATTTAGAGAGTTATACAACTGCAAACAATGAGACTTTCAAAATGTCATAACTAATAAATGGTCTTCATGTGTCACAGTGTCCTAAATGGTTTTCTATACAAACTATTAGAGCTTTTAGTACTGGTTCAGTCATATGAATGCAATTAAATGCAATTTGTGAATGCAGGACTTCCAATGAATAACCATGGAAACTACTTAGTTCGTCTGGGGCATTTTGTACGCTGGCTTGGGGAGCAGGCAGAGGAGCTGGGAGTGGAGCTGTATCCAGGCTATGCTGCATCTGAGGTCAGAATGCCTTCATTATATGAATGCTTATATTAATGATGCAGTTAACTTTTATTAATTAGACCTGCTTTTGTACTGTAATTTCTTGTAATTTCTATTGTGAGTTATGTGCTTTACTTTTTAAAGATCTGGATTGGTAACCAAAAAGTGGTAGGTTCAAACCCCACAAGATGATCCATTCACTATAATCACTGGCCCTGGAAAAAGTTACTTAACTTCAGTACTGTTGTTCCTGTAGTAAGCAGGTTTTTCATGGTCATGGAAAACTTGGAAATATCAGGAAATTTTTAAATGGTGATTTACAAATGTCATGGAAATGTCTGTGACGTACATTTGTGTAGTTATTCTCAGATTGTCTTGAAATCACACTCTGTGACTGCAGTCTCTAACACATTATTTAAAGAAAAAAATACAGGAATCAAAAACAACTGAAGTCATAGAATATAGGAGTTTACTGGTTAAAAGCAGAGGGAACACTTAATAAGGGGAAGTTGCTGTAGATAAAAGTAATGATTTAAAACAATGTTTTCGCTGCTGCACAATAAAAAGATGAAAAAAAGATAGTCACTGTGAGATAGAAAGTCATAATTTTGAAATATTTGCAGTTATGAGATATGAAGTCATATTGTGAGAGATTAAAATTCTCATTGAGAGATAAAAAGTTGCATTGTAAGACAAAGTTACTATATGATAGTTACATTATTCCATATAAAGTTGCATCTGTGAGTTATAGTCACTATTATAATTAATAAAATCAAAATTACCTTTTTTTCCCTTTTACCCGGAGGTGGGGACTTATAGAAATCGCTAAATAAGTAAATTGATTTCTTATTGTAACATCCTGTTGACTTCTGTAAACTCTTGTGAATTTGTCTTTTACACCAGGTGCTGTTTCATGAGGATGGAAGTGTGAAAGGAATTGCAACCAATGATGTTGGCATTTCTAAAGATGGGTCTCCAAAGGTTTGTCATCATCACCATAAGGTTTTATATATCAATATACCTCCCAGAACAGAATATGCAATGGAAGATGGATGAAACAGTTTTTTTCTCCCCTAAATACACATTTCAAACACACCTTTTTGATTTATGTGATTTATATTCATAAGAAAAATGCTATAAAAGTCTGCTGAATGTCCACGTCAAGGCTAGAATGATCTGAATCACAGCGGAAGATGCACTGTAATAATATATAAAAGGGTAATTCTGTTTAAAGTGATTCTGATGTGCAAATAGCATATTCATGTGCTATTACCACCACATTTCACGCTCTGTTGAACTCTACAGGATGTGTTTGAGAGAGGCATGGAGCTCCACGCTAAGGTCACTCTGTTTGGGGAAGGCTGCCACGGGCACCTGGCCAAGCAACTCTACAAGCAGTTCAATCTCAGGGAGAACTGTGAGCCCCAGACATACGCTATTGGACTCAAAGAGGTACAAGAACTTGCTTGCTTGGGTGATGCTTTAAACGTGCATACATAAACATTTCCATGTTCAGTTTGATGTCCCTTTTCACTGACAGTTGTAGTGATATCAGCTAGTTAATATTTGCACAATGGGTCATTGCTTTCATTTAAAAGTTGAGCTCATTAGTCTCATCAGCATGTAGTGTTAATGTTATTAATATTTTATATTGATATATAATACAGGGTTACGTTATAGGGATGCACTGATGTATTGACCAATAATCAGTATTGGTCGATAAAAGCAATGATTTTTACTATCGGCCATCGGACGATTGTTTAAAAACAGCCGATGATCGGTGCCGATTATATCCTGTCAATCAAAAGGGGTTGGAAAAACATTTCAGACTACAACTTTGGCTCTATTTGCCAGGTCCGTGGCTTCTCCCTACACCAAACTTTATTTGTAGCGTCCCTCCGATTCAATGATCGCAAAGAGCTTTGTGCTACTTCTGATTAAAGTCTCAGCTTTCAAATTCTGTCCATTTTATCAAGAATTTCAAACAATAAATGGCTTTTCGGTCTTAAATGCGACGACAGATCTCAGTTAGCGCAAGTTATAGCACAAAAAAAAGCATGAATGAACATCAGAAGGTATGTTGAAAGATACAGTACAACTTACAGAAATGTATCATGTCTTCTGTAATCGCTCAAGCAGTTTTTAACCGTGGAAAGATGTCAATAAAACAGCTTGTGAACAATGTCATCCAATGTTCACAGGTTGTTAGTTAGCTATACAAATACCATAGAGGAGCTTATTTACTGTCAATTATATGTATGCTTGAATACATTTTTCATGAGGACAATTGTTTATGAAAACTAACTTATGTCCAACTGAGTTGTATACAACATTTCAGTTTTTATTTGAGTGTCATTATTAAATCTGAAAATAAATAGCAGTTGAATATAAAAGTTTGGGCTTTGTTGTTAATTTTAACCTCTAGTATTATAGTAATGTACCAAATGAGATGGTTATCTTTGTAGTTTACAGCATTAGTTGGGAGAGTTTTTTTCTTTCCTTAAGAAAATCAAACTATCGATATCGTCAGATATCATTCTGAGTAATCGGCTCTTGCTATTGGCATATAAACTTAGTATTGGTGCATATATAAATTGTTCATATTAAAATAATACAATTTATATTATTAATAATGATTAATATCATTAATATATTAGTAATTATAATTGCATTTATTTTATTATTATATTATACGCTTTTAATACATAATTAACATTATTTAATATACAAAAAAACACTGCTTTTTCTAGCTTTGGGTTATTGATGAGAAGAAGTGGCACCCAGGACGGACGGAGCACACGGTTGGCTGGCCTCTGAACAGGAACACATATGGAGGCTCCTTCCTGTACCACCTCAATGAGGGAGAACCACTGGTGGCCCTGGGCTTTGTTGTAAGTCCTCTTGTTCCTGAACCTTATGGGTCAAACCCTGATTGAAGTATTTCAATGGACTTGGAAGAGTCCTCTTTGAAGCCTTAATCTTAAAACTAAATGTTCTGGATTGATGTCTTTGTCAGACTGCTTTGATCTGTAGAGACATTATTGACCTCATTCATCATGTTCTTTCATGAGCTAAAATGATGCGCAAGAGTGTGAAAAAGCTTTGAACTTTGAAATTGTTCCTGGTTATGAGGACATTTCCTCATCCTGCTGATAAAATAGCTTATCAAAATGACTTTTTTTTTTCAATCGCTTTTTAAAGAGGCATTTCATGGAATGCTTGTGATTCATAGAAACTAGTCTCAATTCCAGAAGTCTTGAGGAGGTCTGCAGTAATGACGGATACTCAGGATGGCACTAGTCTGATTGGTCACAGTTGTCTGGAGAGACAGTGCAGCGTTTGATTTTAATTTTAATTTATTTGTTTGTTTATTTGTCAGGGACCATGCACAGTTCAGGCCATGTACCAGAGTTAGCTATGCAGCTAATTTACATCTGTGGTCCCTGGGCAAAGAAAATAAAGACAATATAGACAAACATTTTGCATAAAAACAAAAGTACAGATATACAATACATGTTATAAAAAAGGTCAATGATCACATAGTTGATTCTCCTTCAGCCAAGTCTTTAAGGACATTTTATAACTGCTGAGACTTGCACAATCTCTAATATAATGTGGAATTAAGTTCCACTTTTCTACTATAGTAAATGAAAAAGCTGATTGACCAAATTTTGTCTTCCTAAATTGAGTGCTCTTACAGAAGCCCTGGTGACCCTAACATTATCTCTGCGAAATGACACACATTGATTGACAGAACTGTGTAAAATCTCATGATTGCTCTCAAATATTTTCCCTTAAGTACATTTCGCTTGCTGAGCTGTTAGTAGTACTGAGCAGTTTTGAGATATACCGTGTTGAACATGCACTACCCTTCAGAAGTCTGTGGTTAGTAGTTTTTTTTTTTTTAATTAATAATTGTATTAATCAAGGATGCATTCAAGTGATCACCATTGGCAGAAATATATTCATAATGTTGCATAAGATTTCAATTTCAAACTGCTGTACTTTTGAACTTTGTTCATCAAAGAATCTAAAGTTTCCATTAGCTTGATAATAAAAGGAATTTAATTTAGTTTAAATTGTAATAAAATTGTACTATTTTTACTGTATGTATTATCAAATAAATTCAGCTAGTGAGCATAAGACTTCTTTCAAAAACAGTGGTGTGTATGTCAGTTTATATTTAATTGTGCATTCTCATCTTGTCTTTAATATTGCTGTATCCTCAAAGCCCCGTTGTCCAGCTCGTCTTAGCAGGCAACAGTAAGGAGCTTTGCGAAGGGTCAGTGCAGTTATTCTGCTGTGGTGAACTGCAAATGTTTGTTTGTCTCCTCAGGTAGGTTTGGACTACAGTAATCCCTACCTGAGCCCGTTCAGGGAATTCCAGCGTTGGAAACATCACCCCTTGATAATGTCTACCCTGGAGGGTGGCAACAGGATAGCATATGGAGCCAGAGCCCTTAATGAAGGAGGTTTCCAGGCATGTCGGCAACTTGAAATTCTCAATATAAATTCTTCTTCTTCTTTTGTTTAACTTCTCACATCCATGATCTCCCCTCCAGTCGATTCCTAAACTGACCTTCCCAGGCGGCATGCTGATAGGGTGCAGTCCGGGCTTCATGAACGTGCCCAAGATCAAAGGCACACACACGGCCATGAAGAGTGGCATGTTGGCAGCCGAGACAGCCTTCATGAAAATCACAGATGAGAATCTGCAGTCGGAAACAGCAGGTAGCCAGCCCAGGCATCTTTGCAAATTAGCTGAGGTGTAACTCAAGGTGTCCTAGAGTATTTTTGTGTGTGCATTTTTCTCTGCTAGGTCTCTATATTCCTGAATATGAGGAAGCTTTTAAAAAGTCCTGGATCTGGAAGGAGTTGTATTCTGTGAGGAACATCAGACCATCTTTCCATAATTACTTTGGACTCTACGGAGGAATGGTATACACAGGAATCTTCTACTGGATTTTTAGAGGAAAAGAACCATGGACTCTGAAGCATAATGGTATGAACTGAGAAGCTGGTTGCTTGTTAATAACAAAAGCTTTTCCTTCAGATCATTGTATCAAAGACAACATTGCAAATAGATGCAAATTCAGTATTCTGAGCTATAAGATCATTGAACACAAAGATTATGGTAAAAAAATTACATTTTGAAAAGTTTAATTATGACCTAATTATTTTGATTATCATTGAATGGACATATGGACATGCATTTGTTTGCATTATTAATGTAAATGTGAATTTATTTGGATTTATTTAATTTAACTGATTGTATATATTTATTGAGCACAGGAAATGGGGAAAAGTGCATTTTATTTCTAATGGTAAACAAATGCTTGTCTTGTAGGTCTGGACTGTGATCAGCTGAAGCCGGCTAAGAACTGTACACCCATTGAGTACCCAAAGCCTGATGGGAAGATCAGCTTTGATCTGTTGTCATCTGTAGCCTTGAGTGGGACTAATCATGAGCATGACCAGCCAGCCCATCTGACGCTCAAAAACGACAGTGTTCCTGTGGCCCAAAACCTTGCGATTTACGACGGTCCCGAGCAAAGGTTCTGTCCGGCTGGTATGTAACCGTTTCTGCAACACTTAGCAATGGAAACTAAATGGTAACCTCCTTGTTAGACTTTTGGTTGCACACAATAATACAATATCAACATGCTCCACAAGTTGATGGAAAATTCTGGTGAACAAGCTGCCACATTTGATCCCTCCTGTTCCACAGGTGTGTACGAGTATGTTCCTCTTGAGACGGGCGATGGCATGAGATTACAGATTAACGCACAGAACTGCGTCCACTGCAAGACCTGCGATATAAAAGACCCCAGCCAGAACATCAACTGGGTTGTGCCTGAGGGCAGCGGGGGACCAGCATATAACGGCATGTGATTTCAGCATTACATATTTTTATTATCATCATTACTGGGGAACATTGCACAGGTTCATAATCAATGCTTTTAAAGACTTGAGAGTCCTTCTGATGTGCCTAAGGGACAGAATGTCCTCGTATCCTGTGATATGAGCTTGAAGTGTAATTACATAAAGTGGCTTTGCATATTTCAGGTTTGATCAAATTGTATGAATTTTACATATAACATCTGTCTAAGGAATGTGTCATAAAAGACAAAGGATCGTGTTGGATTGACAACCAAAGGGACGTTTTAGGTCACCATGATCCAGTTAACTGTAAACTGACAGTTTTGTATATATTATCAAAGTTGGAAAACTAACTGGTAGAGAAATAAATTAATTGTCACAATCTGTTTGTTGGTTTGTTTTCTAGAACTACAAACACAATCTTAAACATGAATCTTTGAACATATTAATTGTTTTAATCCATCCACACAACTAACATGGCTATTTCCAATTTCACAAATAAACAAATGTTTTGCTGTTTTATTCAGCGCTCGATAGAATGAATGAACAGCAGTTAAGACAAATGAACCCAGCAATTTTTCTTTTTGCAAAGTCACTCTTTAGGGTCAGCAATCTTGGTCAGCTCACTAAAAATGCACTGAAACTTTGTTCCTTAACTCATCTCACACATGGTACAGATCATATGAAGCTCTTTCCAAACCTTAATTTTTAACTTAAATTAGAGACTTCAAGGCTTTTTTTTTTAAACCCAGCTATACACTTACGTTGCACTTGTGTCTTAGTAAGTGAACATATGCAGGTAGGGCGGTGTGGAGTGAGGTCACTGCAGTTTCCTTTACGCAAACATTTTGGCGTAAATCTTCTTTTCTTTCTCCTTCTCTTCTTTCACTTGCTTCTTCACTTTCAGCATTTCATTTCCAATTGCTTGAATCAGGGAAAGGGAAATGTTAAAGAAGAAAACAATTCACAAATCATAATCAAAGATATTTTTAAACTAAATTTAACAAATAGATTTGTAAAGAGCTGGTTAACCTTTGTCATCTGGTGCAATCTCCTGTGCTTTCTTCAGATCAATCTGCATTTAAAAAGACAAAAGGTAAGTGCTCTGAAAATACCCAGAAACAAATTGTCATGTAAATGAGAGCAATTTTCTAATATTGAAAGACTGATTCATTGAAATACAGTAAAACGTTCTGACATTTTACCTCGGGTCTTTGTGCTGAGTTGAGTAAGTGGAGTGATTCGGTCTAACAGAATGTTATTTTAGTATCATTGTGCTATTATAGTTTTTACTAATAGTTTGAAATGTTTTTTTTTGTGTGTGTGTGTGTAATGTCCGTAGTTATTATTCATTTTTATTTTAGTACATCAAGTTTAACTAAATTAAAATGAGAAATGTTTCCTTGGTAACTAGCTGAAATAGTCTTTCCTATTGACTTTCCTGAATAACAAGTCCTGTTTACTAGTTCTAAATTAAACTATCAAAGATAATTAATAATGCATCATTTTTTGAAGCCTGAAAGCTCCAATCTATTTTCCACCAGCATGGATAAAAAAGAAATACCACATCCTTCATAATTTCTTCTTTTATGTTCCATGGAAGAAAGTCATACATGGTTTGGAACGACATGAGGGCGAGTAAGTGATGCCAGAATTTCATTGTTTGCTTTAAGGTGTTTAGGCCAGTGGTTCTCAAACTATTTATCAGAGAAGTAAAATAAAATAAATCTAATTGACCAAAAGCACCAAGATCAATTAACATTCTTCTAAAGTCTCTTTACCTACAATGAGCACTAGAACTGTAAGAAACTATTTCCCCAAAATTGCGGTCTACTCGTTTTTTTTGCTTGCCATCCTAAAAAGTTTGAGAACCACCGATTTAGAGTGAGATAAATGTGTATTTCACTCAGTGTAGTGTTTGTACCATGGCCTTGTTGAATTCTTTAAGCCCCTGCCAGGCTTGAGCTCTCCTGAACAACGCTTTAGTGTTTGACTGGTTCAGCTCCAGAGCCTGAGAAAAAAAATATTACCATGTTATAATAAATAAAACTAGCCTGACTTCGTCATACTCATATTCTAGTCAGAATGTGAGTCTGATACTGCTCCATAGGGCTTTGATTATGAGGCGTGTCTTAACCGAACCAGGGGAAAAAAAACCGCAGCAACGCAGTAAGTGTTTTTTTTATGAGCTACAAAGTTGTCATCAGAACTCAACTGCACGCACGCTGGAAGAAGTAGTAAAATAATGAGTGTTGCTTCTTTTACTTGGTCCTCCATGAGTGCGACCAAAGGAAAAACCACAACGACCACAGGGTTTTCATTGCGTCCCATCTTCTTAGCGACCATCGGAGCCAGCTGATAAAATAAACTTTTGCCGAATCCCGTAGGAAGGACGGCAAACACATCTTTCCGATCGACAAATGCCTTGATTGCAGTTCTGTTCATCTTTTAAAATGAATGCGCTGTCGATTTCTTTTACAACAGACGCGATAGCGGAATCTCTACATCTCAGTTCTCCAGCTGCAGTCATCTGTGAGGGAAACCAGTTCAACCCAAGCGCTCTTTGATAACGTGATGATTACGTAACTGCAGATCATCTGTCCATCATCGTATAAAGCCCGCCCTGGCAATTTGATTGGCCCGACGATTTCTGAACCGATCATAATTACTCCTTAATGGATCGAGTCCAGACCGAACTTCCCGACCAAAAAATGTTGTGTGCTGGGTTCGGGCTGGCATCCAGGCTAAAATAAAACATCACAATCACCAAACAAACCAGTAGAAAATACAGTTTTACGGTGTGTTCACACTTGGCAAGATTGGTTCGATTAAAGCAAACACTGGGCGTGATCCCTCTTATTTCGGTTCATTTGAAGTGTAAATTTAATTGTGAACGCAGCTATCCTTTTCAGTGGGACTCGGTCCGCTTCCAAACAAACTCTAGTGCGGTCCGACTGAAATAGGAATGCAACACGGACCAAAGACATCTAAATTAACCAAAAACAGGATGTAATGTCACAAGATGTGACCCTTAAAGGTCCCATGACATGAAATTTTCACTTTCTGAGGTTTTTTAAAGCTGCAGTCCGGAACTTTTCCTCTTTGTTGCCATCTCTCTGTTCGAAATCTGTAACTGCAGTGATTCGCGGAATTATTATCTTTACGTGGGTTGTAAATCGGCATGAAACAGCGCGGATGAACACAGTGCTTTGAGGCGAGTGCTGCTGTCAGTCACCGCGCTGTGTGGATATAATGTCATACAGAATCACAGATTCACTTTTTGAAAGTTTGACCAACATAAGAATTTTCATAAGAAAATGTCTTCTGAACAAGTAAGTAAAATCCATTTTTGTTCTGACCAACTAAGGGGGAAAAAGCATTCGACATGATAAGCTTCGTTAGATTTAATCAACGTGATTTACAGCAACCGTGCAAATTATAGCCTACTTTGTTCTCAAATTGTTCATGTTAACAACATCAGCATTGCGTTACTAATGTTAAATTTAATGTGTTTTATGGTTAGCAGCTACCTGTGTAGTTCAGAATTCATATTCTCCATAATAGCAAAACGAGAAAGGCACAACAAAGGAAACTCCATAACTGTGTGAATTAAGAAAACGTACTGTTACACGATTGAACTATTGAAATGTCTTACTTGTTCAGCAGAAAAAGGCCGTCTCTTCTTCCGTTTTGAACCCCTTCAAAACACGGAGTTCAAGCACTTTTCAAAAGCCCCGCCGATGTTTAAAGCCTTGTGTTCGCATGAGACAGTTTCTTTCTCTTTCTCTAGCCACCTTAAATCCGAAGTACGAAGTCTTTTGGGTTTTATAACTGCTGAATCTCCAGTTGACACTGATGATTGTTGTTTGGATCTTTCTGGATGCCATAAGTTTAATTATGTAAAGTGCTGCGAGAAAAGCCTATACATCTAAACATCTCGTCACGCGCAGTATAGCCGGCTATAGCCGAAACTCCTTCTTTATGTGTACGGGTGTGACGTCATGACGCAAAGACATGCTCGAATTTCCCGCGGAAACCCACCAGTACCACTGGAATTAAAATCATTATTACAAGCTAACCGTTTTGAATCTAGCTATGGCAAGCAGATAGTTTTGACCACTGGCAGAATACGTTTTTTTTTTATATAATTATTTTGGATTATTTTTAACTTAAAAAAGTTACGGACTGGAGCTTTAACATTAATATGAGTTCCCCTAGCCTGTATATGGTCCCCCAGTGGCTAGAAATTTCAATCGGTGTAAACCGAGCTTTGGCTATCTTTCTCTGCCTTTGAGAAAATGAAAGCTCAGACGGGCTGATCTTGAATCTCCTCCGTATGAGGTCATACGTAGGAAAGGTAACCTCCCCTTTCTCTGCTTTGCCGCCCAGAGAATTTGGCTCGCCCATGAGAAAATGAACTAGGAAGTACGAACGCGATTTGAGTTTTTCCTCGAGAGATATCATGGCTTGCAAACGAGCGAAGCATGGCAGTTGATCAGTGTTCGGATGTACAAATGAACACAAAAGTATTTTTTAGTTCCTTCATCCGAGCCTCTGAAGAAACAATGGGTTCATTTTATTTTCTCTGGAAATGCGCCGACACAACTTCCCAAAGTTTTGTATGGTCCAAACATTTCACCGACGACTGTTTCCTCAACTTGGGCCAATACAGAGCTGGCCTCGATGAACGACTGAAAATAAATCGATTGAGCAAAGCAACAATTTCTGATGTGTACGTTAGCCTAATTGTTCAAGTTCAGACAGGTAAGTTAATCTTTCTCTCAAAATCGTTCAATACTGTTTATGCATCAGTAAGTCAAGCCAGTGACTAAAATATCAACTTCACATCGTTTCTGTTAGTAGGATGAAAATAATCTTATTTAAATTGTGAACAAATTATATACAGAAAGCGATCAAAGAACAATCTTTCCAAACAGCGCGAGTTTATCTGGACAACTCGTTATGAAATCAATTGCGCACGTTACACTGCACAACAAAGCTCTTACTGTATGTACATCATCATGTTTGCATTGGTGAAAGCATTAGAGAGAGTGCAGAAACTGCTTTGCAATGATAAGATCTTCATTCTCGCGATCAACAGACTCATCTGCTCAATGCTCATCACGGCAACATTTTGGCTGCGTTTACACTTGGCATTAACATGCGATCACCGTGATCCGATCAAGCAGATCGGATCATTAGCCAATCAGGACATGGTGCATTTATATTTGTTCACATTAAGCAGCCTCTGTATCTGGATAACCGATCAGATTTCTGTTTCCCGCATAATATTTAAATCAGGTCTGTGGCACGACACCAGATTAATAGTAAAGATGATACAAATTAAACAACATCCCAATTGCTTTCACTCACTCACTTTACTTTCATATGCAATCTCCATTAATTAGATCAAATTATATTTTTTGAAAGAAGGAATACTTCCAGAGTTGATCTTACAAAAATAACTGGGTTGATCATGTTAAACAAGTCACATTATCTGGGTTTAAGGTTGCGTGCAATGACTATATTGACAGAAATGGGAGATTGATAAACATGCTGAAACAATAAAAACATTAAACATTTAAAACATTAAAAAATTCCGATTATTCCTCTGGCAAGTGCAGCTCTTCATTAAGATCTCATGACTGACTGTGAGTGTACAGGCGATCGCCTCGTTCAGATAATGTTGCACAATTAAAATGAAAAATGACACACATAAATAAACTGTTTTAAAGATTGACGTTTATTGTTCAAATAAGTTTAATTTCGTGTCTAAACTGCGTCTGGCCATTACTTTCTGACAGGCACGCGGGGAGACTGGGCGGGGATTTAAATACGTTCACCTGTGAATGCAGACACGATGGCTGGATTGCGTTTACATTACACTGAGATCCGATCACAATGCGTCCTCGACTACCTCCGAACCGGGAAACGCTGATCGGATAACATTCCGATCAGATGTGCGTTTACACTTGTCTTTTCAATGTGTATGTGGACAACATCCAGATACAGGTCGCATGTTAATGCCAAGTGTAAACGCAGCCTTTATGTGATGGGAATAGAGGGAATGCATTAACGTCACTTTCCCGCCGGAACACGCCCCCCTCAGCCGGACTGAGTGGCAAAAGAGCTGCTGCGTGGCAGGAGTTAATAGGGGAAACTGCGAAAACGTGGGTTAAACAAACTATTATCAGTTTAAACTAAAAGTTGGACTCGATATAGTGTTCCTTACAACTTATCAAAGATCCAGTGATCCATGGATATTGACATGCAGCCAGGAATCGCGTTTCCTGACATTTATATGCCTGATTTCGACGCCGGGGAAATAAATTACGAAAATTTGCCTGTAAACGTTTTATATAAATACAACATAGATAGGTCTAAATCCGAGTGATTACTTACATTAATGTTATACTGTATACCATCATATCGTCCAGCCCTAAAACTTGTATAGTTTTTGTCAGTGTTTATTTAAAAACATCCAATAATGCAGAATATAGTCTGTTCTGTAGCTTTTTGCAGTCTGTAAAAATATACAGTACCTCAGATTTCTGGTCAAATCTAGTTGTAGAGTCAATCGCAAAGCTCTTTCCCGTTTTAGATGTGTTTTGTGTGTTTTTCACAGCATTCACGCTGAAAACAAATGCTGCCGCTCAGTCTTTTTGCCACTTAGTGGGCGTGACCACATTCACTCCGGCCGACGGTGACGTCATGCGCATACCCTCTATAGATCTAAATACTTTAAAAACATCTCACGATTCGTTAATCTCGATAGCTGTAATAGTAAAAACGTATAATAGCTGTAGTAAAGGTATTCGAGAGAGTTTCACATGTAATATGTAGCTATTTCATATGCAAGCATGTCAGCCAATCACAGCAGTGTCTGGTTACACTCAATCCCACACCGACACGCCCCTTCAAACAGAGCGTTCAAATCAGACGGTAAAATCAGGCTAGGAAAAATGCCTTTTATTTCTAAATTATGACTATTTTTTTATCTAAAAAACATACTAACATTATAAGGGTAACCCAGGAAACATTATAAAATAATAAAATAACCCCATGTCATGGGACCTTTAAAAGGACCTGGTTCTTTTGGTTATAGGATCTGCACTGCCCACTACAGTTCAGTACAGGTGTCATAACCGTCGTCTCCTTGCAGCACATCTTTGGTGTGTGACTCCTTTACGCATTTTATAAGTTCTCAGCTAGTAAATATACCACCATATGCATTTAGACATACAACAAGCGCATTTAATAGGGCTGGGTATCGATTCAGATGTTCAAATTCGATTCGATTTCGATTCACAAGCTCACAGTTCGATTCGATTTCGATTCTCGATTCGACTATAATGAATATAGATGTAATACAAATCTCAGTCTAAATATCAGTTATCATTTTTTAGACAATTTTCTATTACATTGACCTCACCTAAATGTTTGTTTTTACAATGGGGTAATTTTTTTGTTAAGAGTTTATGCAACACATGGAAGCTTGATTTCAATCTTTGAATTAAATTGAAAAAAGTAGCACAAATAAATACAATAGAATAGGCCTAAAGACACAAATAAAGAGACATAAAAAGAAAAGTTTTTGGGTAGGTCAGAAATACTACAGAAACTGAATAAAGTAATCCAATGTAAAATAACACTGGATAGTCTTTTAGTCCTGACTGAATTAAATATAGGGCTGGGTACCGAGTTCGGTACTTTTTAGGTACCGACCGAATTGCCTCGATACTACCGAGTATCGAAACATGTCTTGTTTTTCGGTACCACATTTCGGTACCTAAGTGGTTAATCTCGTCAACGTCAGTGAAACAATAAGCATGCAGCATGATTGGCTGTGGCGGAAAAACACTAGTTTACGCGGCTGCCCAGAGACGCGGCTCGTCGCACGTGAGGCTGCAGTGTGTGTGTGTGTGTGTGTGTGTGTGTGTGTGTGTGTGTGTGTAAGCGTGCGTCCCAACCCAGATAGATAGAAAATATGTGGAAATGATCCAAAGTGTACCTATGTCATGTGCCAGACTCGATGCCAGATGCACGCGATGCAATATTTTCGACAAGATCATTGCTGCCAAGACCGGCAACAGGGTAAATCTAGGCACTGAAGCGCACAAAATACCCTTGAGAGTAATGGTGTTCACATCGAACGCGAATAGAGCGTCAAATACGCGTCTATCGCGTCTAGTTCGACGCTTGAATCTTTAGCTCGAGTTCAAATTTTTCAACTTGCGTGGAAGACGTTCGCGGCAAACGCGTCGCCCAATTCGCGTCATTCGCGACGCCCGGCGCGAATGATGCGTCTATTCGCGTCGTTGCATTGACTATGTATGTAATCTACTCGCACAAATAATTAAATTCGCGTTCGGTGTGAACACACCATTAGTAAACAACTGTTCATTAATAAACAATTAAAATATCTCCTTGCTATTGTTTCCACATCCATAATCATTAGGCTACTTTTGCCAGTGCTTTGCTGCAAGCTTCACGTGCAGGTATATATCCCGCCCCCCAGTAGCCTATATTTAATTTAATTCACATTTATTTGTATAGCATTTTTCACAATACATATCGTTTCAAAGCAGCTTTACAGAAAATGCATGTCTAAATTACAATTTAGAGTGATCTGTTATCAGAGGTGACAGTGTAATGCATTTCAATTAATTTTCATTCAGTTTCATCGTTAATTAATGCATTAAGTTAAAGCAGAAACAATGAGCTCATTGAAGTAAAGAATACATGTTGTTAAATGATTAGGAAACATAGAAAACTTTAGCATTGGTGCTTTTTTACATACTCAAAATATGAGTGTAAAAAAGTCAACAAACTGAAAAAAAAATTAGGTAATGTTATATTGTTAAACCTGGTTACATAAAATTGGTATCGAAAAAAGTATCGTTCAGGAACCGGTATCGAAGTCAAGGTATCGGTATCGAACATTTTGTTACGATACCCAGCCCTAAATACATAGGCTATTAATTCTGATTCCTTACAATTAATGCTATATTTTGTTGTTTTGACAACAAAATGAACGACAGACACATATGGCTGCGTTCACTTTAAGAGCTAGTGCACGGATCCATTACTGTTTCATTATACTGTCTGTGACACGCGTTTTATGCTTATTTAAGACATAACCGACTGTCTTTACGAGGTTACTCGCCAAGACCAGAGTTTTGACATCATTTTGCGTGTTTTTAACTGTTAAAGCGATATAATCCACGAAAAAAAACTTTTGTTACTGGCGAGCTGTTTGTGAGGCGGATTTAGGCTGTATGTGCACGCAGTGAAAAACATGCGCGAGCACAGGATAGTTTAAAATTGCTTGAATGATTAAACTGGTAAAACTTAAAAAAGACGTGAAAATGATAAACGTTAGTTACGATGCAATGCTGGCCCGATTGTGCAAGTGAATCATGTCCCGACTCCTAAACACGAGTGTGTATATAATTAGTCTCTGGTGTGTATCGACGCCTGCAGCGCTTGACGCTTGCCTTGTGCAGAGAGAGAAGACGCAGCACCGCGAGCCCTGAATATGGAAAAAATCGATTTGTGGCCGTTGAGAATCGATTTTGAATCGACCACATTTTAAAAAACGATTAATCGAAAAATCAATTTTTTTTGCCCAGCCCTAGCATTTAACCCAGAACACAGCATTGTTTTAAATGTTTGGTCTTTAAATTATACATCCTAAAATCTGTCCAATTAGCTTGTGACCTTATTCTTCTACCTTTTATTCTGTATCTTTAGATTCTGTGTTAAAATAACAGAATGTTATTGTATAATTTTCTTTTTTGGTCCAGACCTAAAGAACTACAAGTGTGAACACACCCTTACAGGCCCTTTTGAGAAATTAGTCAACTTATTCTATTTCAACTGTTCCCTAAATAGAGAGACAGTGCATCTGGTAATCTAAAAATGGCAGCGACCATGACAAGGTTATTTCAAGTGCAGTGAATGGCTGAGATGAGTTGTTATAAAAAATCTTATATCCTCTAACCCCAATGCAACTGGACACCGTTCAGACGCCTCAAATGTCAGAAGATCCCATGTTACCTCATCACAGCTCTCGAGTGCTTCTTGCCAGAGTTTGAGTTTGAGCTTGCAGGCGGCCGTGTTGAGAATGCAGCTCAGGGCCGTGGGCTCCAGCTTCTTTTGGGCACTATCGTCGTCTAAGATGTTGCCACAAAACTCTAGATACCTGTGGACCAAAGTAACCTTTAGTGACATTGCTGATTTACAATGATGCATACAGACATGTCACATTCACAAATGTTATAAGCAACATTTACTTTAGATTACACAGTGAGAGATCTTGCATATCAAGCAGGTGCTTAAAGGAATGTCATCATGACATGTGAGTACATTTGAGAAAAGAAAACTCAGCTATAACAGCATTTTTTCAAAGGTTTGACACATTGAAATCAAGTCTAGAAAGCTGGATGTAATGAAATAATGAGGCTTAATGGCAGACTCGAGTGTTCACCTGAGAGCTTTTGAATATTTCAATATGGCTGACTGCCAGTTCTGAGCCTTGAAGAAATTATTCCCGATGTTTTTCACATCCTCTGCCACAGAAAAGACTTGGTTTGTCTAGAAAGAGAACAGATTAAGTTTTGTTTGATTTGACAAATTTATATTTTTAGCATGTGAAATTTCAGCTATCATAGTATAATACTGTGTAATATAAGTTTTATATATATGTGTGTGTGTTATTTTGAGTTGCAAATCGCAAAGGGCCATACCTACAAACACAATATTAACTTGTCATTTAAAGTTTATAAGCTTGTATATGCATATTTTGAAATATTATATATATACATCTTTAAAGTCCACGTCAGAGTCCTCAGGGAAGTCTGGGTATGCGTCTCCTGAGCCGTCGTTAGGTGCGATGCCCCAGTCATCTCCCGCTTTATGTTCTCCACATTCAGCAATGACGCAGGGCTGAGAGAGAGACAGTTACAATCAATCTAAATATTCATATTCAATTGCTCACTGGAAAAAGGAAAATGCATTTTCTGTTTCCTTACTGGAGAGAGAAATGGTCACACACAATGTCAACTCCTTTCAAAAAGCTCATTTATCACACTAGCTAGTTCACCTGTGCAGAACAGGTGGCAGACTAAATTTCATGACTATTAAATCTTGATAATGGTGACTAAATGCCTTTAAAAGATCTCAGACACACCTGTCCTTCAGGACCAGTTAAGATCTCGGTCGCGTTATATTTCTAAGCATGGTAGCAGATGTCACAACGTCATGATGCGTTTAAAGAGTAAAAAATGTTTGCATGCATTTAACATGGTCACCTTCACAGGATTGTCTTCCTTTGTTTCCAGCCCCTCCAGCTTCTTCACCACCCCCATTCCTTTCACCACCTGGCCAAAGACAACATGTTTGTCGTCCAGATGCGGCGTGGGAACCGTGGTTATAAAGAACTGTGAGCCGTTGGTGTTGGGGCCGGCGTTGGCCATGCTGAGCAGCCCCTCTCTGTCGTGCTGGGGGGAGAGACACAACCATTAATGAAGCACCACTTCATTCAAGAGAAACACAAGGTGTATCTACTGTATGTCTCATTTATTCCTCAGAGCAGACACCAGGAAATTAGCGGATGCCTCAGGGAGATGAATCAAGGGCTGTGTTTGGTATATTTAATCTCAGAGCAATTTCTGAGCAACTACGCAGACTGATGGATTTGGTTAATTAAACGAAAGGTTCACTAAAAATAAAAATTCTGTCACTGAATATGTGCATCGAACAAGGTTTGACGTTCATTAGAGATGTGTGGGTGGTGTGACCAGAATCCTATATCATGTTTTCCAGCGTGAACATTCTGCTAAACTACTTCTGTGTTACAGGATATGAACAACATGAGGGTGAGTAAATGATGAGACTTTTTATTCTTTACAGCAAAGGTCAGCCGGAACCGGGAACACTTCCCATAACACCTGATGTACTCGTTATATCATAAGAAGAATGGCATCTATACTAATATTAGTCTCTCTGTTTATCCGGAGGTTTACCGTACTAGTACCAGATGAAGGACCTGCGCCTAGACACGAACACAACGCAGCCTTGAAGTGTCAGCAGAGACCGCGTCAACTAGACTATCTCCTGCGAAGGCCTCATCGACACGACAAAAGTTTAGTTTTTTTAACGACAAATGTTTTTCCTCTGTACAGATGAAAACTTTATCAAAATGACACACGCAAACGACTAAAAACACTGTATTATGCATCCCAGACAAGTAATTGGCAATGTCACTTTCTAAAGAAAGACTACGCGTCCGCACACAAACGCGCATGCATATATAGACTAAATAGTAACACGTGCATGCCGTTTTCAAAAACTTGCACTTTGAAAACTACTTCAAAGTTTGCATTCTAAGGCCACCAAAACGCTGTTGTCGTGTAAATGAAATGGCCAGAACACATTAAAACACATTTCACTGTTTTCAGTTGAAATTTCTAATTTAATAACTCATGATTTTCACAACGGAAATGAATCAATTAAAAACTTAAGCTAGACAATGACTTTCTTCTAGAGCTGCAGTACAGCCAAAACAAACTTTGTTGCATTCATTTCCTATTATCACTGTAAAGCTGCTTTGAAACAATCTGTATTGTAAAAAGAACTATATAAATTAAGCTGACTTGACAAAGCAGCTCTGTGGTACCTTGTAGTGAAAGTTTTCATCCTCAAACTTGTCCCCGTAGATGCTCTCTCCTCCAGTTCCATTCAGATTAGAAAAATCTCCACCCTGGACCATAAATTTTTTGATGACTGAAGGGTACAATAAGAAATACAAAGTTGATTAATTGTTTTATAGAGGGTCAATTTTCAGGTTATCCTTTTAAATGATCATACTTAATGTGACTAATAACTAAGACTATTTTGCAAGCACGACATGAGCAATGAAATATTCTATAGCTGGCATATATATATAAAAAAAAAAAGCTTATTCACTATAATAATTTATGACTTTCCCAGGCCTAGCCCTGCGCATTAGATCATTATACACATCTCCATGGAAACGGGAGGTCAGGACACTCACTGCGGTGGAATGGACAGCCCTTGAAGTGCAGCGGTTTTCCGGTGCTTTTACCAATCCCTTTCTCACCGGTACAAAGAGCACGGAAATTCTCTGCAGTTTTAGGGACCACATCAGCAAAGACCTCAAACACTATACGGCCAACTGCAAAGAGAAACAAAAACATCAGGAATTCATTATTATCAGATATTTAGTCATCAGGTGATATGTGGCTGCATATTATGACCACTATTATTTATTTATTTTTTTAAGGATTTTATCTGACCATATTGAATTTGCTTTACAGATATCAATAAAATCAAAATCTACAGTTTAACTTCCAAAAGAGTTACTCACTATAACTGAAGAGTAGAAATGAGAAGTGCTGTCATCTTTTCTTCTTATTTATTGCATTTTTTGTTATTTTTTTTTGTTATTTGTTTTGTTACTGATTTTGGGTTTGGTTTGGTTTGAGAAAGATGGAAAATATATCTTCACATGTTAAAAATCACACATATGTACACTCAATTGTGATATTCTAATAAACGTAATTACAATCTTTAAAAGACGTGCGAGTTTAATATTGTATCCCATATATTACGATATATGAAGTAGAGGACAAAAAATGTACTGCACAACAGCAATGACTCGTGTATATAATACAGAAAACACTCAGTTCAATGGCAAAACGGGAAAATGCATGTTGCTTTTCTAAATAGTAGTGTCCCTAGTTGAGTTCAGTGCATTTATTTATTAATTCCTTTTCTTTCTTCTAAGCAGCAGTTAAGAGGCATGTGGCAGCAGACGGAGGCATGGAGTCATTCAGCTTCTTTCTAAAGATAACAAAAGATTCTGACCTCTTTCACCATCGATATCTACGTCAAAGAATACCCGAGGGTTGTCTGAATTTCCAGGCTTGGCATCAGGAGTCGGGTTTGACATTTTCTTGGATTTTGATAGGCAAAAGGGTCCAACTCTGACTGGATGGGGTAACTGGAATATTCTGTGAAAAGGAAGCACCGGTGAGCTTGTAACTGAAGCATAAGTGAGCGTGTAGCGCCCTCTGCTGCTGTGGAGTATATACGCAGAGGCGCTGTACTGCTTTGTTTGAATGGCATACTGTACCGTATTGATTCTTGACACATGAAACAAAACACATAGACCTCCTATCCAACAACTTTACCTACCATTAGTTTTTAAAATAGCAATATTTTGCTTTGAAATCAATCAAGAGATGATTACTAGAAAGTTCTTAGGTATAATGCCATTTTCACAAGATGTAAATCTCTGATGTCCCCAGGGTGGCTATGTGAAGTTTTAGCTCAAAATACCCCTGAGATATTTTTCATATATAGCATGTTAAAATTGCTACTTTTTGAGGGTGAGCAAAAACGTACTCGGTTACTAACGTAACCTCGGTTCTCTCTAGAGAGGGAACGAGTACTGCGTAATAGCTTACGCTAGGGGAAAACCTCTTTTCCACGTAATATTGAAGCCAAAATGTATCCTTAATTTTTTATTAATGTAAAACGCTTTGCAGCAGCAAGCAGACACAGGCGAGACAGCTCGCGCGCCTATTGGTTGCTCTTGCGGCAAATGCAGCAGCCTATCGAGAGACTCTGCGTGACGTAATGACCAATGGGGGCAACCCGCGCCCATATCGTCACGTCCCGCCAGAAAGGGCATGGTCTTGCCCTATAAATATGCTCGTTAGGCTGATACAAGCTGGTTTTCATCGCCGAAGCGAACCAGAGCGTATTCCAAGCACGGCAAGATACGCAGTACTCGTTCCCTCTCTAGAGAGAACCGAGGTTATGTTAGTAACCGAGTACGTTCTCTTACGAGAGTATCTCTCGTACTGCGTAATAGCTTACGCTAGGGGAACACAATGCAACACGCCGTGCGTACAGGGATCCAACACCAAAGTCCCAGAGGCAACGCCCAGGGCCCATATAGTGCATAACCACCATGAACTCACATAGAGTGAAGGAAGAGAGGCTGGAAGCATCATTCCTTATAAAATAACACCCAACAGGGTTATTATATGACAATTAAACGCGCAGCCAGGGTGAAAGTTTTCAGCCTGAACTGGATGGTCATACATGTGTCAATACTCATGGAGCTGTAGTAGACTCAGCATTTGGGCCGCACAGCGGGGCAAATAGCACTGAATTCTGGACCGCCAAAAGCTTAGCTTGTAAGGCGGGTACCTCCAGGTTATAGTATTTTATGAATGTAGACGGCGAAGCCCAGCCCGCGGCCGTACAGATATCCTGCAGGGTAACCCCGCTAGACCATGCCCACGAAGAGGCCACGCCTCTCGTGGAGTGCGCTCGGACACCCAACGGGCACTGCAGGCCCTTTGCAGTGTAAGCTAGCGCAATGGCATCCACTATCCATCTGGATAGGCTCTGTTTCGAGGCGGCAAGTCCCTTGGAACGTCCGCCAAACAAAACGAAAAGCTGCTCAGTCTGTCTGAAAACAGACGAGCGCGACACATAAGCTCTCAGTGCCCTGACGGGGCAAAGGAGACTCGCGTCCTCCTCCTCATTGAGAACCGGAAGGGCAGACAGGGAAATTACCTGGGCCCTAAACGGTGTATTGAGGGATTTCGGCACATACCCGTGCTTAGGTTTGAGGATGACCTTCGAGTCATTAGGCCCAAACTCCATACATGACGCGCTTACTGAAAGCGCTTGCAAGTCCCCTATGCGCTTCACTGAAGCGAGAGCCGTGAGAAACACTGTTTTAAACGACAGGTGTTTCATGTCCACCAGCTGGATTGGCTCGAACGGGGCGCCTTTCATGGCCTCCAGGACCGTGGAAAGGTCCCACGTCGGGACTGAAGGGGGCCTGGGAGGGTTTAGCCTCCGAGCTCTCCTAAGGAAACGCACGACTAAGTCGTTTTTCCCCAGTAACTGGCCAGACACCGGTTTTGCAAACGTTGCTATGGCCGCCACATATACTTTGAGCGTGGATGGGGTCCTGCCCTTATCCAGTAGCTCTTGAAGGAAGGAAAGCACTTCCGAAACCCCGCAATCCACAGGTGAAAAGCTCTGGGCTTGACACCATGCAGAGAAAACAGACCATTTCGAGGAGAGTAGAGCCGCCTGGTAGACGGAGCTCTAGCCTGCGCGATCGTGTTTAACACTCCTTCTGGGAGGCTAGCGGGTACCCGTTGATGGCCCACGCGTGCAGGGACCACAGCTCCGGGCGAGGATGCCAAATCGAGCCCCCCGCCTGAGAGAGGAGGTCTCTCCTCAATGGTACAGGCCATGGGGCAGTGCTGGTCAGCTGCATCAGGGCAGGAAACCACATCTGGTTTGTCCAGAGCGGAGCTACGAGCAGCACTGGGCATCCGTTTCCCCTGATTCGTTCCAACACTTGAGGAAGGAGCGAGACAGGAGGAAAAGCATATAGGGGACAGCGGGGCCAAACATGAGCCAGTGCGTCCTTGCTTTTCGAGAAAAACCTCGGGCAATGAGCGTTTTCGTGGGACGCGAATAGGTCCACTTGTGCTCTGCCGAACGTTCTCCACAGCAGCTGGACCGTCTGCGGGTGCAGCGACCACTCTCCTGCTGGAACATTGTTCCTGGACAGTCTGTCTGGTCCCACATTCAGGTGACCAGGCACGTGCGCTGCTCTTAGTGAGAGCAGGTTGCGCTGAGCCCAGACCAGGAGGCGTTCCGTCAGCCTGTGAAGGTTTCGTGACCTGACGCCGCCCTGGCAATTTATGTATGCCACCACTGACATGTTGTCCGACCGGACCAAGACATGGTGGCCTGTCACCTGGGGACAAAAGCGCCGTAGCGCTTTGTCGACTGCTATCATCTCCAAGCAGTTTATGTGAAGGAGCTTTTCCCGTTCTGACCACAGGCCAGCTAGCGGTCTGCCCTTGAGCAGCGCTCCCCACCCCGAGGTGGAGGCGTCCGTAGACACCACCTTCACACTCGAAGCGGTCCCCAGGCTTACACCTGACTGATACCAGTCGGTTATTTTCCAAGGTTTCAGAGCTGAAACGCACTGTAGGTCGACCTTGAGGCGAAACAGACCCGCTGTCCATGCCCTGGGCGGAACCCGCGCTTTCAACCACATCTGCAGTGGGCGCATGCGAAGCAAGCCCAACTGGAGTACAGAGGCTGCCGAGGCCATTAGCCCCAGCATTTTCTGAAACCTTCTGAGCGGAACTATCGAGCCGTGGCGGAAGGATTTCGCGACGCGCTAAATATTTAGTCCGCGCTCCGGTGACAGGCGTGCCGTCATGGATAGCGAGTCTAACACTGTTCCCAGAAAGGAAATTTTCTGACTGGGAGACAGTGAGCTTTTCGCCCAATTGACTGTGAGGCCCAGCTCCTCGAGGTTCTCGAGTAATGCGGCCCTGTGTTTTATGAGCTCCGATCGTGATCGAGCTAGAATCAGCCAATCGTCCAAGTAGTTCAGGACTCGCATGCCCTGAAGTCTCAGGGGTGCGAGCACCGCGTCCATGCACTTCGTAAATGTACGGGGTGCTAGGGACAGGCCGAACGGCAGGACTGTGTATTGATACGCCTGGCCCTCGAAAGCCAATCTCAAGAATCGCCTGTGATGGGACGCTATTTGTATTTGGAAATAGGCGTCTTTCAGATCTATTGACATAAACCAGTCCCCGTGGCGCACTTGCGCGAGGATTTTCCTGGTCGTAAGCATTCTGAACTGGCGTTTCACAAGCGCTCTGTTCAGCTGTCGCAGATCTAAAATGGGTCTGAGACCCCCATCTTTTTTCGGTACCAGAAAATATCTGCTGTATAGGCCCCCTTCGCTCTGAGCCTGAGATAAAGGTTCTATAGCCCCTTTGCTCAGTAGTTTCGCTATCTCGGCACGAAGTAGATGAGACACTTCGTTTTTCACAGTAGTTTCGACATCATTTCGCGCCGTATAACGGCAAGGGCGTCGAGCGAATTGTAGCGAGTAGCTTCTCTTTATAGTGTTCAGCAACCATTCTGATACCCCGGGAAGCTTTGACCACGCATCTGCGTGAATAGCTAGAGGTAGAATGAAATCCGGGCTCTGGCCGCGGCAAAACGGCAGCTCGAGAGCCCTGGTATACTGGGAACACAACACCGTGTTTACAGCGTTTGAGGCGGGGGGCGCGCTGATTACAGCGGGCGGCCTGGCCGCGCTCAGCTTTTTTATGGCAGATTGTGCAGAGAAAGTGAGCGGGGCAGATCCCGTAGGATTCGGCGTGTTTGTGTGAAAATGTGGGCGCGGGACAGCGGGCACATTTATTACACTGGAAACACTGTCGGTTAGGGCCGACTGAATGTGTGTTGGTTTAGTTTTTACAGAAACCAAGGGACACGCAGCGTGTAGTGTAAGCGGGCATTGTGTTATGGGCGCGTTCACTACATTGTGTGCACAATCGACCTGAGTCGATTTTATTTGTGCTAGCCCTGCACCGTGGCGGGCTGTGTCTGGGTGTGGGAATGGGCACTGGGGCGTGGGCATTCTTATAACACTCATACCACCATCGGCCGTGGCCGGAACACCAGAAAATGCACTCTTTATTGGATTTATCTGGGTAGCCGTAAAAACGGCTTTTATGCGCAGGCAAACGGGCTGAGACACCGGCTGGCTCACTGCGAAATACACTGGGACAGTCACGATGCTTGGAACTGACCGAGCGAGAAGTTTTGGTGGAGAACCGGCCACAGCGGGATCTGAACACCGTCGCTTTCCTAGAGTGGCTAGGAAGGCTTTGAGGCCTCGGGCTTGATCTCGATCCTCGGCCGGGGCCCGCGCTGAGGGGGGCCGCGTCCAGCAGAGCGAGAGCGCGGTCTTTGGTCTCGGGCGTGGCGGCGCTGTGAAGCGGCGGCGGCAGATGGTGCAGGTTGCGGCTGAGAGCTGCGAGCAGACGGCTGTTTAGAGCGGCCTGCAGCGGAGCTCGAGCGCTTCGGAAGGAAGTGCTTCATAGCCTGTGAAGTCTTCTGCACCTCCATGAATCTGTCCGCGAAATCTTTGACGGCAGATCCGAAGAGGCCCGCTGGTGAAATGGGCGCGTCGAGGAACACAGAGCGCTCGGCTTCCGTCATCTCGGACAGCGTCAACCATAAGTGTCTCTCAGCCACGGTGAGAGAGGCCATATTCCGCCCTATGGCCTGTGCAGCGGCTTTAGCAGCGCGAAGAGCGAGGTCTGTAGCGCTTCTCAGGTCCGCCACGCAGATCGCTTCGGGCCCTTCCTCGTCCATTTTAAGGAGAAGGTCAGCCTGGAAGATCTGCAGAATAGCCATAGTGTGCAGCGCTGAAACTGCTTGCCCGGCGGCGGTGTAAGCGCGTCCGTGCATAGCTGACGTCACTCGGCAGGCTTTAGAGGGGAGTGTCGTGTGAGCGCGCCGTCCAGCGGAGGGCGGGCAAAGATGAGACGCTACAGCTGGCTCCACAGGGGGAACAGAGAGGTATCCTCTGTCCTTCGCACCATCCACCGTGGAGAAAGCAGCCGAGGCAGAGGTATGTCAGCCTGGCGGAGAAGGGGGCGTTCCACGACTTAGTCACTTCCTCGTGTAGTTCAGGGAGGAAGGGGGCGGGCCTTGACTTCGACGGAGCTTCGTCTTTCCCGAGAAAGCGTCCGTCCAGTCTGTTGCGCGGCGGTTGCGCGGGCGCCTCCCAATCGAGGCCGATGCTTTCTACGGCCTGAGAGAGCAGACGCATCAGCTCAGTCTCAATGCCGGTTCTCTTACCAGTAGTTTGGCGGGAAACGCTAGCGGAGGGGAGGTCCCCGGAGCTCGCCCAATCCTCGCTATCGGATGCCAACAGAGAACACGCCTCGGTGGGTTCGTCGAACTCGTGGACGGACGCGGCGGCAGGCGGCGGCCGTTGTCCGTCGGTGAGCGACTCGAGCGAAGCCGGCGAAGCTGGCGGGCGAACCGGCGAGCTTTGGCGGGCTGGAGAGAACTCGGGAGCGCGCTGGGCGCGGCGCTTCTTGCGGCGCGGCACCACGGCGGGCTGCGGTGAAGTCTCGGAGAATGATGCCAGGCGAGTCCTCAGAGTCAGTTCGGCCCGTAGGCACACACGACAGTGAGAGATCTATCCCCGACCCGTAGGCGCAGGGAAACGACCCTCTCGTTCACCGGGGTAAACTCCAACACATGGCGGCTGAGCTGGGGGACTATAAGCAAACCCACACCAGCCCGTCGCCTCTCACCATGGGCAACTCCAGAGTGGTGAAGAGTCCATCCTCTCTCAAGGAGTGTGGTTCCAGAGCCCAAGCCATGCGTAGAGGTGATCCCGACTATCTCTAGTCGGAACCTCTCAACCTCACGCACGATCTCAGGCTCCTTCCCCGCCAGCGAGGTGATGTTCCACGTCCCTAAGGCTAGTTTCCGTGTCCAGGGATCGGGTCGTCGAGGCCCCCGCCTTTGACTGCCGCCCGATCCTCTCTGCGGCTTACGACTCTTCCTGCAGGTGGTGAGCCCACGGGAAGGCGGTCCCACGTCGCTCCTTCGGGCTGAGCCCGGCCGGACCCCGTGGGGAGAGGCCCGGCCACCAGGCGCTCGCATACAAGCCCCAACCCCGGGCCTGGCTCCAGGGTGGGCCCCGGCTGCGCCATACCGGGCGACGTCACAGTCCTTGCATTGTTGTCCATCATAAGGGTTTTTTGAACCGCTCTTAGTCTGACCCGTCGCCTAGGACCTGTTTGCCTTGGGAGACCCTACCAGGGGCATATAGCCCCAGACAACATAGCTCCTAGGGTCATTCGGGTACTCAAACCCCTCCACCACGTTAAGGTGGCAGTTCAAGGAGGGGAGCCGCACTCTTGTCATAAATTCATATATTACTGTTCATACATAATTTGTAAGAAAAAAATAGCGCTAAAATATCTATTAAGGAGTCTTAGACCTTTCCAACGATATATAGTTTGTGTCATGACTATTAGGATTTAATAGTAATATAGTGAAGTAAATTTAGGTTGCCCGTATACGGGCAGGTGACTCAAATGGGGATTTCTACCCCCCTTTTTTAGCATTGACGTTACAATATGCCATCCACATGGCTGTAATTCATGAATGCTTTGGAATACAGGCCTTAGTCTCTTTTAAAGACAGATTGTTTCTGAAGTAAAAGCACAAAATGAAAGTGTAAAAAAAGTTAGGATCAAGTTTACAGAAAAGCAAATCCTGTACTAAACATTTTTTTATTTTATACAACATATAAAACAAAGACATATGTCTAACCAAGTTGTGTTCCAAATTTGAAGTTGATATCACAAAAATTGAGGTTGCTATGTGATTTTGTTTAGGTGCTCTACCAAAATTAGCCACCGGGTGATTCACTTTCCATAGATTTATTTCTTATGCGTTCTCATGAAACAAATTAATCAATTTATGCCACAATATGTCTTCTTTCACAAAACAGTAACCAAATATGGAACCTTGAGTCTCAGACCTTTCCGACAATATATATTTTTTTAAGATTAATTTAAGATAAATTTGATTATAAAATATTTAAAATAAATTGAGCAGAGGTGGATAGTAACAAAGTACATTAGATTCAGAGGCATAAGGTACTGTAAGTATTACACACAACAATGCAACAATAATAAAACAATGCATTGACATTTACTTTTTACTTTTGATACTTAAGTACTTTTAAAAACGAGTACTTCTGTACTTTTACTTAAGTATAAATCGGTCCTTAAAACTTTTACTTGTAACGGAGTAATATTTGACCAGTAGCATCTGTACTTTCACTCAAGGAAGTTGTGTACTTTGTCCACCTCTGAAATTTAGTAATATGAAACAACACCCCCACATAGGGGGAGGAGCCCGCTAAAAGGATTTAATTTCCAACGCAATGTCCGATTTCAAAACGGTTTTCACAGGATTAATTTTGAGTTGCTTTCAAATTAAATCCAATTTATGATGATTGCTAAAATATGTGAAAGAAAAAAAAAGAGAATAAAAATAAAAAAAAGACCGCCAAGCGTCATGCGTCTGGTTGTGCTTTCTCCGTATTCGACTGTCTTTACTGCAGACCTGAAAGAAGAACAATAAGAGAATGATTAGTACTTTGAGATTCAGACACTGAATTTCAGTTTATTCTTGATATAACAATGGGCAACCCAGCAGTGGGTTTATACAGGGTGCAGAGCATGTAGGTCACAGATTGAGTGTGTATCATTATCTCATATATCTCACTTCATTAAGCGGGAACTGTTCGTTGTCATCCTTGCTGTAAGTATCATGTGCGCCGTGGTTCCAAGCAAGCCTCCTGCAGGTCGTTTGCTTGTCCCGAAACCAGGGCTGAGTGTGCCTGTGTGCAAGCATTGAATTATTGATTACTAGAGGAGAAAAGCTTCCTCTCATCCACTCTACCCATTTCCTGCCAGTGAAACCCATCACCGTCTAGAGCAATAAGGGGAGCTAGAGGTAATCTAACCCTTCCCTACGTGGTTACTGGTGTGTGTTTAGCTCACCATGGCACTGTCCTGCACAGCTGATTAAAAGCTGACAGAACAGGAAAAGAAAGTATTTTATTTACACACATACAGTAAGGCAATACTATCAAAACTAGTCTTTGCAGATTTGTTATAAAAAAATATGTTAAAAAATACATAAAAATGTCTATAAGGTCAAATCTGATCCTGAGAGACAACGAGGTGCGTATGATGTTCATTTGCAGCAAGTTCTATTTTTGAGGCAGGTTAGTTAACGACAATAATTATTTACACTATTCAAATGTTTGGGATGAGTACGATTTTTTGGTGTTTTTGAAAGAAGTCACTTATGCTTACCAAGGCTGCATTTATCTGATAACAAAAGTATAAAAACAGCAATATTGTGAAATATTATGACAATTTTAAAAACATGTTTTTTAATGTAATATATTTTAAAATGTAATTTATTCCTGTGATGCAAAGCTGAATCCATTCTTCAGTGTCACGTGATCCTTCAGAAATCATTCTAATATGTGAAACATTTCTTATTATCAATGCTGAAAACAGTTGTGCTGCTTACTATTTATCTGGAATCCGTGATAAAAAAAAAAGATTCTTTGAAAGTTTAAAATAACTTTTAACAACATAAAAGTGTAAATGCTTTAATTAATCTAATTTAATTATTTAATACCTCAAACAATAACAACATCAAAATCTTACTGACTCCAAACTTTTGAAAGGCATAGTGTTTATTTTTGTTTATAATAAGGGAAAATGCTAGTTGCCTCACTTTTTATGCCAATGTTTCTCAGGTTTACTGTTGAAAGTGTTGAAAGTCAATTTCTATGTTTTGGCTGCCCATGCAAGGAAAAATATGCAATTTAATGAACACACACTGGCCAAAAGAAATTAAAATATAATGTAATATAATATAATATAATATAATAAAATACAATACAATACAATACAATTCAATATAGGCTAATAGTATAATATAACAACCTGATATAGTGTGTGGTTGATGACAGTAGTCCGCCTGTTGAGTGCAGTGCAGTACTGTAGACCCCAGCCCACTTCTCCGGTGCAGCGGTGTTTCGGTAACGGCGGGGTCGCGTGCGCTGCAGGCCGGAAGAGGTAGTTGAGGTCACTCGTGGCATCCGGAGATAACGGGCCAATTCCAATGCTGCGGGGGAAATAGTCCAATTTGGGACGGAAATCTCCAATGCCGTCTGGTCCTTGATGACAACAAAAGAAACACTTAATTCAAACTCGTGAACTTACTAATGATTAAATAAAATGTCATAGATTCATAAATAGCCCTATTTACCTGTGAACAGTATTCTCTGTCCAGACCCTGCATGAGAAGGTGTGTCCTGTTGTACCCTCTTCATCCCCCTTACTTTGTTTACTCTTTGTCTTAAAACTGCTGCCAGATCTTTGAAATAGCAGTAAGCGCATCTGAGTGACTAGCCTATAAACTAAGCCCTAGGCAGCAGGAGGTCACTCACTCATTCACTCACTCACTCACTTGCTCACTCACTCGCGCGCGCTGTTGACACGGACCGTTGGTCTCCACGGAACTTGTGTTTAGTCGTGATGCATTAAACTTATGGATTATTTATTAAAAAAACATCCAACACTAAAATAAGCCCACACTGTTTGTGCATTAATACATATACACAGTAACTTACACTTGCTGTATATTTATTTCTTGACATAAACAATAAACAAATTAATAATATGAAATAGGCCTAAATTTTGGCAAACAAAAATAAATGAATAGGCTAAATTGATTATTTAAATGAATAAATAAAATTGACAATGAAAATAGCTTACAGACAAAGAAACAAACATAGTAATGCTTGATACTAATAATTTAATACATTTGAAATCTATATTAGGCTAATTGACATATAGGTCATGGCTCAAGGGTTCAATTACTTCAATATATATAGGCATACCTTCAATGCAAGTCGCTTTGGATAAAACTGTCTGCAAAGAGCATAAATAGTCTATAATGTAATATTTGAAGACAAAAGATCGAGTATTTGTTTAAGGAAAACTGTTTTTTCATGCTACAATTTAATCTTTGATAGCTGTCTTTAAACCGGTTTGCTTTTGTTGATATAATAATAAGGCTTTACTTTAGTGTAAGATAACTGATTTCCAGCATCATGGGGGTGTCTTGACAAAATCTCATTATGAGGTTTGGTTACTGAAATTATTTCTGAAACAGAAAGGCACTATTTTTCCTCAGTGCTGACTGTTCAATTGTTCCATCCAAACCCGCAACTAACCGGCATCAATCCCACTGGTGACATCTGATGTGTTAAGGGTCTAAAGGAATTGTTGGTTTATTGTTATTATGCTATTTATATGAGTACTCAACAGTGCAGAATGTCTTGATATCAAATTACATAGTCACATGATCAGAGGTGTTGAATTCCAAGGTGCCCATCTGTGTCAAACCTGTCATAGCACAGTTAGGCCTATACTCCCATGGCTCCTGGGACCCGTGAATAGACCTTTGTTCACTGTAGTGGACATTATATTTTAGTGACTTTTTCTCACACAACATACGTGTTTTTAGGTCTGGATGTCCTGTAAAGAGCACATTTGGGTCTTTTCAGAGATACCAAATGTTTGGATGTTTCACAATGACAGCAACTTCTGCTTGGTCTTTAAAAATGACTGACAGTAATTTAGTGATCAAATATAGCACTCTTATGAAAATATATATACTATAAGATAATAATAAAAGATAATATTTTGAAATTATTATTTAAATATGACTAATTTTCAAATTGTTTGTCATAAATCAACATCTCAGGTAAATGTTATGGGGGTTTTAATCAAAATATTACTTTATATGTTACAAAACAGGGCATTGATTTCATAGATGTCCACTGTAGAGGATACCAGGACTTAAATCATGTTTATCAGGCATTTTGGGAGACAACAATTGAATGGGGAAAGACATTATCAATATTCCTATGAAATATTAGATATTGTTAGGAAAATGTTGTCTTTTTTATTACATGTTGCCCCAAGAACACATTAATATGCTAATTAAATGGGACTACCCATTTATGGCCATTTTACCCACATTGCAAATATTAAAATGACATATAAATGAATTTCATTAGATCCTTCATAACATAAAAGGATTTTTGGTTAAAAAAAATCCTGAAACCTAAACATTTATTGGTAATTTTTAAAAAACAAATCCCATTGGTTTTGCCAATACAATCTTTTTATGAGTCTTGGTGTCTTTATCTTTATCTTTTATATATATATATATATTTTTAATGTGTTTTCCATTGGTTTCTTATGCTCAAAACAATGTAAAGACATGAAAAAATATTCAATTCAAAAAAAAAAAATTTGGGGGAGGATATGTGGTGCATCTAATATGATCAGTTCTAACTATGAAGATTATCAATCATAATCACATGTAAACATGAAAGTGGGCATATTTTTCCCAGAGGGAAAACACAGTCGTATTTTTATACAAGAAACAGATTAAAGTTATAAAATCGAACTTTTCAAAATAATGATGCATTAAATTAAACGAAATAAACGTTAAAAGAAATTACGTTTCATATTTGGATTATCATTGGCTTTCCACACACTTGGCTGAAAATTTGTGGCGTACGATTAAAAGCGTGTAATTCTGCCTTCAACCAATGGGTGGCGACAGAGCACTGTGTGTTGTGCGCATTGGAATTGTTCTGTGGGCGCATTATTGTGCTGAATGGACTCGCCCATGAACCCTCTTGAGGCGGTCGGTCACCATGGTGGTGGCTTACAACAGCGAGCCCAGACGGCAGACCCTCCGTCGCGTTTAGACACTAAAACACTATTTATAAATGCTGCCTTTGACCCTCCGCTGCTTTGCAAATGGCTTAAAATGGACAATCACCAAACGCATGGATTGCACGTTGTTTTAAGATGGAAAACTGAAGAAGATGGAATAGCGAACAGGGGACAAACGGAATGGTGAAAATGCACTCGTCTGCGTAAAGCATATACGTACCGCTTCCCTGCAAAAACCTTTCATTAACACGAAAATCTCCTGTCAACTCACAGCCGAAGCTCCAGCGGCTGGAATAGGAAAAACAGACTGTCTGGTCTTGTTGTTGGATTGGGACGAGGGACAGTAAGAAAGATCCAGGCTTAGGCTGTGGCCTGGGGACAGGCTCTCCTCTGCAGCTGCTGCTATATAAAAACGTTATTGTACCGTTTAAAACCCACTTGTGAGATTCGCGTCGGAATATTTGACTTAATTGTTGCGCGCGATTGTTTTGAAAACCATGGCGTCTTACGTGGATAACAGTTTTCGGCAGGCGGTGATGGTGAATCCTTCAGACAGGACGCAACAGGTCAGAAGACAGTCTTTTAAATCATTTATTATGTGCACTGGTGGATGTTAAATGTTACAGTATTCTGCAATTCTGCAGTTACTAGTATCACGTGCATGAACTGTTGTTTCTTTCACAGTGATGACAACGCAATAATGTTGTTAGTTTATAGAAAGTGCAATAAAATGAAATGGTATCTGAATTGACATGTCAAGTCACCTTCATGTAGCCTATATAGCGCTATTTACAATACAGATAGTTTTAAAGCAGCTTTAAAAGATTGTTTTGGCTGTACAGCTCTAGAAGAAAGTCATTTAAGTAAGATAGCTTAACATATAGGCCTGTATTGTCCCCAATCTTCTTATAGTGCAGGCACGTGGATTTTGTCTTCACTGTTCACTGCAGTCCATTGCATAAACATAAAGCAAACGTTTGTAAACTTTACGTCTTTCACCTCTACACAACCCTTGTCAGCTCAGCTTTACGTCGGAAACAGTTTAACATTACGCTGTGGTTTTGTGTGATGAGAAACTGAATAGGTTTTATGTGAAAATAAAATATTGACCTGTTATGCTTTGAAAGGCGTTGTAATGATATTTTGCTTGCTTGGATCGTTGTAGTCTCCACCCTTTTACGTTGCCACCGAAAAAAAGCATTATTATTCGTTTTCAGCAGGGCTGTCGATGTATGTAAAAGTGTATGTATTTGCAGTTTGTGTAATTTTCCTTTAGAAGTGCTTGTATCGTCTTTAGTGATTTGGAGAAACTACGAAAAAGAACCGATACCGTCGAGTTGGGCACTTAAAGTGACAGGGTGCTTTTTTAGACATAAAATAAACCATATGAATCTTCTACCGCACATCTGTTTAATTTGATTTTGCCGTCTGTTTCATCTTAGGTTACAATAATTGTTATACTGAATTTTATTTATTTTTATTTACTGAAAAAAAAATCAACCTTTGAAGTGCATTTAAGGTCATTGTTACTGTGGACATGTGTTATTCCCGAACGAATGGGTGTTTGAATGAATCATTTAAGTAAACGATTCTTGGGCTGCAGTGAATGAATGAGACATTTCGTCTCGGAAAGAAGCATGCACATCTGATGATTTGGAGGCTCTGAGAAAAAAAAATGCAATGATTTGCATTCATTAAGTTGTACGAATCTTGTGAGTCCGCCTACAAAGAAAATAATCATTCATTTATTTGTATGGTGAATATTTCTGCATATTGCTATGACCATATGCGGCCACAGTGTTTCTTTTTTGAGTTAGTAGCAAGTCATTAATTTATTTGCAGCTTTAAGTTAACCTATGAAAAGACAACTACCCTAAAATAAATTAAGTGTTCCAAAACCATCCATTTCAATTTACTCACCCTCAATCCATCCTAGGTGTTTAGAACTTTCTTATTTCAGCCAAACACATTCGGAGATATAATATCCTGACCTTTCCAAGCTTTACAATGGGAGTGAATGGTACCTTGTTTTTTGAAGCCCAAAAAAGTGCATCCATCCAACATAAAAGTAATCCATACAGCTCCAGGGGTTTAGTAAAGGCCTTCTGAAGTGAAGTGATGCATTTTGTAAGAAAAATGTCCATACTTTTAACTTCATAAACCGCAATCACTAGCTTCTGGTAGCGTCCATCCGCACATTCACGAGAGTCGAGTTCCGGCGTATGTCGTAGGACTTATAGCGTAGGTAAGAGTAGACGCCTCTCACGGTTTAAACAAATAGGCTGTGCAACAAACTCAAGCTCTTCTGACATTTCGCTTTAAAAATTCTTGTTTAAGACTTGTAATTTGTGACCGGTGTTTGTTTTATTCTATCCTCTGTGCTTCCGTCTGTTCGTCATGTGTAGTTATTTAAAGAAACTACGGAAAAAAAAAAATCGATACCATTGAGTTGGGCACTTAAAGTGTCAGCTCACTCTTCACCCGCAACTCAACTCGTGTACAGTCGTTACCGGAAACCAGTCATTATAGTTTATAAAGTTATAAATATAGGCATTTTTCTTACAAAAACACATCGCTTCGCTTCAGAAGGTCTTTATTAACCCCCTAGAGGCGTATGGATTACTTTTATGATGGATGGATGCCCTGTTTTGGGCTTCAAAAAACAAGGTACCATTCACTCTCATTATGAAGCTTTGAAGAGCCAGGATATTTTTTAATTTAACAAAAAATGTTTAGCTGAAAGATGAAAGTCGTATACACCTAGGATGGCTTGAGGGTGAGTAAATTATGGTATGATTTTCTTTTTTGGGTGTCTTTAAGTCCATTCACAAATGAGACCATCCAAATAAATGCTCCTTCACAGCCCAGACTGGAATGTTATAGGCTCTTGCCACAGTTTTTAAAAGCAAGAAAGCAGTCACACGCTTCAAAACGAAAAATGAGTCCGTGCATGGAAATGAACAAGAATGATTTGTTCACTTTATAAAGATTCGTTCACAAACTAACACCACAAGTCAATACTAATTAAATAATGTGTCTAAATAAGAGGCTGTCAGACAGGATCATTTGATTTAGTCCCCTATTTTTCAACTTTTCGTACAGATTATGTGTGTTTTGCTGAACAGCCCTGAGAACTGATTTTGTTCACTGGGGAAAAATCACATGTTCATGAACCGAGTTGTTTGTACCTGGATTTAAGCATTACAGACAATAGAGGCACTTGAGGGTCAGTATGGTTTTCATTAGCAAATGCAATTCTGTACAGCTGCACTTCCTAGAGATTACGTGATATTCCATGTCTGCTCTCTTTGAGTGATCGTTCTCAGAGTTGGCCTTTATTCAGCAATCGCAGTACTTCGGCCTGAGTGATCAGCATGTGTGTGGGTTGGGGAATACTGACCCCTAAAATCAGAACACATCACGCCTCAAGTTCACAACTGAGGTGGTCACTCGTTGCAAGTGCATAGGATATAGAATCAAGGTCCATGTGAAATGGATGATGTAATTTTGGTCAGTTCATGTGGGCCAAAAAAGGCTGTTCCATGAAATGGGCTTTAAGACACCCTTAATGTGTAAAGACTTCTTTTTAGGGAATGACGCAGGCTATTCTAATGGAGCTTGAAGCTCATCTTGGCTTTACAGTAACAACCTCAGCGCTTTGCATCAACATGCTGATGGGTGGTGTAGATCTTAATGGGGCCAATGATCCCCGGTTGGAGTGGGTGATATGGGGGAAATTGTGGAGGGTGTGGCCTGTACAGGCTTTGGGACACTATTTTCGACAGCAGACGGGTATGCAGCGGTCAAAGAGACCATAAAAAGGCTGATGGTACTTTGTGCTTTGACCTCTGTGAGTCGGTAGATCAAAGTGCAAGAGGGCACATCTCTTATTGTTCCTAAGAGATGGATCTTGAGTATTAGGTAATTGAACAAGCTAAATATATCTCTTTGGCGTCAGAAGACAATATTTGGCTGTTTTGTTTTTTTGATGCCCACAAAGATATAATCCTGGTCATCCTGGACTGATGGTTTCCTTCCAAGCAGCTTCCTTCCTTTCTTTCACAGTGAGAGGAAGTGCATCAGAGGGGTGTCAGAGATTGACACATCTTTAGAAAGCCTTTTTCTTGTTTGTCTTAAAAAATCCTTCCTTTTTTGCTTCACTGATGAAGCTTTGTTTACACACATATGCCAGTCAGTGAGCTGCAGGTGTCATCTGAATTTTTAGGAGCTGTGGCATATGGATGAATCTCACAAAATCTGCCAAGAAATTGTCTATGTTGGATTTCACCTATAAAATAAATAAACATTTGAATTGAAAGAAAATGAAGCCTGTTTAAAATAAAAACTCTCATACTGTAATGCCAAAGTTATGATGCATTATTTAAACTTTATTTATGCATAGCTCCATATTATAGTTGTTTTTTTTTACTGCTTTATACTGATTTAAATTAAAAAATCATTGTTCACACACTGAGAATCATAAAGATAACTATTAGTGTCCACACCAGCAGGCGATATCGTTCTTGCTTGAGCTTGTTACAGCAGGATGTATTCTGATTGGCTGTAAATGTTTTTATCATTCATCAGCTGGATAAAATCGTTCTGAAAGTGATTCCAATGATATCGTTTCTCTGTGCCATTATCGTTATGAACACTGCTGTTCTTTAATAATGAGAACGATTTTTCTTCATCATTATCTTTATAGTTATTGTCCTTGGTGTGAAGGGGCCTTTAGTCATTTTTACATACTGTACTGCAGAAATGTGAATCTTTTGAAATTTAAATGTGAATCTTAATAATGAGCATTAACAACAAAAACATATTTAGGCAGATCTAACATATAATACAAAAAAATTAAAAACATCAGTACCGTATGTCTTATTTATACTGTACTGATGTTTTACTTTTTTTTGTATTATATGTTAGATCTTTCTTTTTATTTTGGAATGAAATGTGACTTGGACATGTTTTACCACACCCATAAATCATAAAAATGTTAGGCTAGTTTTTTTTTTCTTTTAAATAAAAATGAGTTAGAAACATGATTCAACCCATTCCAAATCTGTAGATGGTTGTCTGGCCATTCTTGCTGTCTAAACATGTTTTTGTTGTTAATGCTTAACTACTAGCAGTAAGAAGAACTGCTATTCTTATGGCCTCTGGACTTGGCCCCTGGACAGAAAAAATATTCTGAATTTTTACATAGTTGTCTTGTTCTTAGTCTTCCTGCCAAGTGAAGTCATGTTATGAATGGCTGTCATTGCCTTGACTGAAATGGTTGGACACATACTGTACATACACAAGCGTGCGTGAACAAAGAGCGGTTTCAATGACAGCTCCCATCTCAGTTTACAGGAAGAATAGACTGACCGGCTGGAGAACATAAACAAATGATGACAACTGTCGCGTTAATACCAGAACATGTGGCACGTCTTTTACTTGTGAGATATTATGCTTTGGTAATGCGTAGCCTGTAATGGAAACCAAACACTGGTTGTCGAAATGATTATAGAATTGCATTGGTCTTATTGGGCTATTTTCAGTATGAGGTCATTTGACCTTTTGG